AAATTTAATAACTGTTTTTAATAATTAAAACATTTGAAACTGTATCATGTTGAACAAAATAATTATATAACAATACTTTATTACTAATTTTTTAAAGGGCGTCTTTTAGCTCAAAAACATAACTTACGGAAAATACTCTCATTGCAAACAATGTTTAGCCTTAATATGTGCTTAGTAAATAATGTTGTTTTACACCTATGGTTAACACATAATATTTTATATAAACTTATATTATATGTATAAGTTTAATAATCTTTAAACCATTGATATGAATTGATGGCTATCTTGGTTACTACCACTATTATAGATTCGTGATGTACATCTGTGGTTATCATAGAGCATCATGAAGAAAATGTGTACATTTTCCTATGGATCTGGTTTATGTACTATAGAACTTAAATAAAAATTAACAGAAAAAACAATTTAAATTATATAAGATCCCACTATCCAGTGGTGGTTTTAATAAAACATCAAGGGGGGAGCGATTTTAAATTTGTTGGGCCCCATTTTATAATTACATATATCAAATAAAAGACACAATTTGTTTATGAACCTATCATAAATTATACCTAATTTTCATTTTTTGTTTCATAATTTAAACAAATTTAGTTTTATTGGAGTCCTTATCAAGTAACTTTTTCTGAATAATACTTACCATTAATTTTGTACGTTGCATATTATAATAAAAACTAACAAGCCCTTAAATTTGATTATAATCTAAAAAAAATGAATATCCCTATAATAATAACAAATGTATAACTGAAGAAATAAAGTAAAACCAATTTAAGCACTTAGTGTTCCATACAAACTACAAAAGATATGCAAATAATACCTTGTTGTAATGAAATTACGTTTAAAAATACGGACATACTTCGCACGTGGGTAGGCCATTGTTGTGAGTGAGAATTTAGGAAGGTAGAAGGAATGGTATATCTGAATGCAACCATTGCTAACGAAAAACGATTCTGGATGAAGTTTAGTTTACTGTTATAGTTTACTTAACTATTTATTAACTATTTATTTTAAAGATTATTTGTTCTTTTCTTAAAAGTTTTCTAAGAATTTGAGAAGCATTTTTAGGCATTTTATGTTTGCAAGTTTTTTTTACATAGTTTTTATTTGGTAGATACTCTGTGGATAAAATTGTTTGACCGTACAGAAATGTTCGAAAATTGGTAGAAGATTTATTAATAAAAATAAAAATAATAAATTAATAAATTTAAAAATAAATATAGTGTAATACTGTAATTATTTTTCTTACAATGGTTTAAAGATCAAATTTTAATGAAAATCCTAAACATTACGGATTTCTAAATCATATATTAATTAACTTCACTTAGAATCGTTTTTCATTAGCAATATCGTTGCTTACAGATATAAATTAAATAAGAAAAAAAAAAAGAGCTGATACTGTAGATGGTTATGCAAAAGTTCTACAAGAAAGGTAGAATACATAATAAAAGTATTTAATTTATGCTTGCAGGATACGATAAACTTTACTTATGAAGAACGATTCAAAATGAAATTCTTTCAAACATGATTTGAAAGTTGGTAATATACTTTAGTATTTACGATTTTCATCAAAATTTGATCATAAAACCATTATGAGAAAAAATACTACACTCTCCTTTTTTTTTTTTAACTAAGTACGACTTATAATAAACCGTATAATTTCAACGTTTTCCTAAAAATATAAATATTATAGAAACATACAAGATTATTTAGGCCGCAGAATAAGTGCCGAGATGACAATCTCATTATTATCATTTCTGTACCAGTTTTTTTTTTTTTTTTTTACGTTGTATCATTCGGGAAGTTTATGAGTCATGCGTCATTGCCTACGTTCACTTGTTTCGTAAACTCGGATTATTTATTCACAATGTTTACGTATTTACAAACGTACATCGTATAGGGACAGTGGAGTTTTCGATCGAAATTCAAAGAATCGTAAACCGGGAAAAAAATTAATTTTTTTTTTAATAAACAACAAAATGCAGTCTGAAGGATAAGCAAACTAAACTGTTTTTCCGGTGAAAGTATCACACGTATAATTATTATTGACTTTATTTTTTTTTCGCGTGTACATGCAAATAAACAGGTTGGGTTAGGTTAACATATTCGCCGCAACAAATCTATTCGATTAATTCATCTGGCGTCGCGGAGATGTCTTCTCGAAATTGCATACGTCATTTTATGTTTACGATCAATTATCGCGCAAAATCGCAATTGATTTAAATGATATAACGCATCAAGTGTGGTTGGTTGGAAATAGCTATTTAACTAGTTGATTAAGTTAGATTCAGTGAACACAAAAAAGCCTATACCAAACTGGCAAAAACCAAATATTACATTCGCCAGTTTAAAATTTAAAATGCATAATAAATGTAAAGCTTTAGAATAGCTAGCGGTTAGAACACAATTTCATATTATAGTTTCAAGACAACGCGATAAAATCGTTAAAATAAAATAAATGAAACCGTCACACACAAGGAGGCGCATAGGGTAATTTTTAGATGAGGGGCAAAATAAAACTAGATTCCAAAATCTATTGAAAGTATATAGATACTAGGTTGGTATTTCTTGAAAAGGAATGAGGAATATAGGGTATGTAATTATGTAAACATTAGATTTGAAAAAACTGTTAAGTGCTGATATCAAGTCATTGTATTTTTCTACTATTTATAGTTTACTGTATACATTTGAGTAGAAAATTAGATTATTTATTTTTAAATAATAATACTTTACAAATATTAATTAACAAATATCATTGTATAAGAATCATAGTATGAAATACCTACCTACGAATGTGAAAATAAAAATTGCTAGATTTTGTAAAACAAAAATGTTTCATTGACTCGTCAATAAATTCAGTTTATTCATCTTCAATTTTTTCTCTATAAACAATCATCATGCACAGCCTATGAAGACTTTCATAGCTCATTGCTAACCTTAACCATGTCTTGACTCAGTGAAAAGTATTGAAAGACCGTACTGAAAGCACAGTGCTTGTTGTAGGTGGCGATGTAATATTATATATTGTTTGACTTTAGGTAATAATAATTCACTTCATAATTTTCCTTAGATAATTTTTATTTTTTAGGGGGACATTTCTTTCTCTCTACCCCCCTCTCAATCGACGCTAATGATCAAGTAATACGTATTTACTTCAAATCACAGTAAAACCGATTAGATTCGAATACATAATTAAAGGGTATAAGGGAAAAACAAGAAAACATTTTTTATTTTTGAAATTCAGATTAAGTTTAATGTTAAACTTGGTAATGTATTAGCCACAACATAATTTAATGTCATATTATATTATTGACCGAGGCATTTATTATGTGTATTAACCGAACATTTACCTGGTTATAAATTGATTATCAGTTTTTTTTTCCTGTAGGCCTAAACTTCTGGAATTCATTATTTTCGACTTACTTGGTTTTTTCGCCGTTTCGATCGCATAAAAGATACACCATGTGTACGTATTTATGTTATATAAATTTTAAAACCAAGTAATCTTAATATTACCTATGTCATCTGATATACAAATGAAAAATAAAAAAAATATAAATGTGTATCTATACAAAAGACGTTTTATCCAGTATAAGTGTGTGGTATTCGGCTACACAATGTACCTACCTGTCAACTGACAAAGTGTGCGGTTTTTTTTAATCAACATTTTTGTAGTTGAAATCATATTTGTGCAATTTTTGGATGCAACTCCTTATTCCTACCCTTCTCTAACTGACGACAGCGATACTTATAGGTACTTACCCGACTTAAATAAAAAGACAGTTACATTTATGAATAATTTGTTAATAATTAACAATCGAAAAAAATGAATAACATGAGTAACATATAGAAAAAAAAAANAAGTAATATATAGAAAAACGTTGAACGGACTGATTTGAATTTCCTCGGCGGTGACCGGCGTATGTATCGATAATAATACTCTAACGGACTCGTTTGGATCTCCACGGGCGAATGTTTGGCGGTGACCGGCCTACGTTCTTCTGGCCGGTACCCAGGAAGCGATCCTCAATGCGTAAGCTGGAGAAGAACTGACCCCGGTGCGGACGGCGTCTTCCCGGGTCACGGAGTGGGTTGTATTCCGGCCGGTCTGGTTTTTTCTAGCTCGTCACACCGGCGGTGATGTCGACAGCGGCGTCTTCTCCACGGGCCACGCGACGTCCGTATTCCGGCGAACCCTTGCCGCCGGGCACAACGTCTCTCTTAGGTCCACCGTGCTTGTTCCGCAAGGGCCGGGATGGTGTTCACCTTTTTGTGGATCATCGGTATTCCGGATAAACCCCTTCCGACCTGAAATCAATTTTTTCGAGTATGTGTGGAACTAAAGTGCTCTCACCCACAAATACGACCGAGAGCCTCGGTCGAAATCATGGCCTAGTAGAGCGAGAGTTGACTTGCACACTGACGCTGATAAACTCTATCCACAAAGTCTACTGCATCAATGGCCTACCCGTAGCGATTCGCTTTTTGAGATTGTATTCTTAAAATATTCAGAATACTTCAGATTTTCCGGAGTATTTTGAAAATACTATTTTTCTAAAGTACCTATTCAAATGACAAATAAGTACAAATTCTGAATACTACCCTACCTAGTACCTGTTCTTTTTACATCGTCGGCTATGCCTAGAAAAACCTCGCAAGTCGATAGCTGCGAATAAAAGCGAATAATTATGGCAAGAAAACTACAAGGAAAATCAAAACATGGCCTCTCCAATACACCGACCGGACAAATAAAATGTTACAAAAAAGTTCTCATATTATGTTTGATCGGAACAAGCTATCTATTAATAGCGGATAAATTATTTACACCATAATACCTATATATTACACGTAGTAAAACCATGACGTTCAGAATCTGAAAACGGTTAAAATTTTGACTAGGAGTCGACGATGTTTAAACTGTGTAGACGAACGAATATATTTTATTTCCGAACAACTATAAATGCGGTGTTTTTTAATAGGTTTTTCACTTACCATACAGTAGTCTGAGGAATACCGGCAGCGATCGACCTTGGAGGACGACCTTCCCGGCGGCAAAGACTCTTCGGAATACGGACCGTCCCGTAGCCCGTGAAGGAAACGCCACCGTCGTCATCACGGCCGGGGTGACGAGGCTGTACTCCGACCTACGAAAAAAGCGAGAACGACCGGAATACAACCCACCCCGTGGCCTGGGAAAACGCCGTCCGCATCTCGGGTCAGATCCTCTCCGGCCTACGCAGTGAAGATCGCTTGTTGAGCACCGGCCGGAAGAACGTAGGCCGGCCACAGCCAAACATTCGGCCGAGGAGATCCAAACGAGCCCGTCAGAGAATGACTATCGGTACATTATCTCAGAATATTGAAGAGAAATCACCGGTCACCTCCGGGGAAATTCAAATCAGCCATTTCAACAAACGTTGTTCTACATTTCACTTATTGACGAGAAATCGGCCTACGAATAGATTATACATTAGTGTTAGGAATAAAAATACAATTTTTTTTTCCAAATTTTTTGAGAACACCTAAGTTCTCAAACGGCGTGTAATCCTGTAGAGTATTATACGTACGTTAAGACCGGCGATTATTTCCGACTGGGATATCTCATCGTACTGCGGCGCCGGGTAGATCATCTTGATTTCGCCAGTATGCTTCGCGCATTGTTTTTCCGACGGACGGCAGATGCCGTCATGACGCTTCTGACGAATCACTTTTTTTTCATCTTCCTTACGCTGCAAATAACTGTTTCTACAGACGCCGTACGCGATTCCAGCGATCAGCGCGGTGTACCGACCCAGACGAATCAACGGCGACACGTTTACCGGCTGTTTGAATTCTCTCACCATATTAGTAAGATTTCGACAAGCCGTAGGAAAATGAAAATAATTAATTTCAGTGGCAAAATCGTTCGCTTTTCGTCGTAATGAATCGCATACAACACTCGGACTGAATGTAATAATAATATTATACGCGCAGTTGCCCGAGCGACGAGATGTACCTATCTACGCGATAAATCAACATAACTAATACCGTGTGGTTTTTTTTTTTTTTTTTTTTTATCGCCAAACAGCAATGATTATTATCTCGGAGGATTTTAGCGAATTCGTTTGCTGTTTTAGATACGGCGGTTTTTAGGGGGAGGACCTTTCCAGTATTAACTTCAAGAGTGCTACAGCGTTCCTTCGTTTCCATACCCCTTTCTCATTTTACAATAATGATGTGACACAAGATTTAATCAAATAGTTAATTTCATTAAAAGAGTTTATTCGACAGTCAAATATGAAAGCGATTCAAGAATTGTCATTTTTTATAAATGATTTATCCTCACCTTATAAAAGTTAAATTCCAACTACAAATAACTCCTCTAAACTACATTATATATTTAAGTCTATCAGTTACTGTCACGGTTTTGTTAATAATTTATTTTATGCTATTTATATTTTAATTTAATAACTAATATTGTGTTTAAATTGGAAAAAATCAACATTTATAATATCTTGTCTATTGGTGTGTGGTTGGAAAAGGGATTAAAAGTATAATGCACTTGACATTATCAATATTTATATACTTCTACTTATACTTCTATATTGCTTTGAAAATTTGTTAAAAATTGGGACCCATAATTAAGTCTTGCATTATGGCCAACCATTAGTAAGTTGCGGTACTATAACGCATTATATTTGATGGTAGCTGTTATGACGACATTTAAAATAATATAATCAATAAAACAGCAAAATCTACTATTGGTATTCAGTCCCAATGTCATAGAAAATCGTTATTATAATATTCCTATTTTGAATTTGGAAAATGTTATCACAATAGATATGGTTTTAATTTTAATTCGTTTTAATTTTTTGTTTAAATGATATGGTTATGAGTAAATGTATTAAACACTTAATGATAGTAAATATATAATACATATTTTATGAATAATAATGTTATTAATTAAGATTAACAATATTACTAAACACATTCAACTTAAAATTTAACATCAATTCTATTGGTTATGTGAATTAAATTTTTTATTAAATTAATAATTAATGTACTTCAAAAAGTTCTTTTTCTTGACTTTTGATTTATTAAAGTTGTAATTATATGATCAATATTTAATTTATTGGTACGGGGTCTTTTGATATTTAAAATGTTTACAATTTTCGTCGAAATTTGATATTAAAGTTCTTATAAAAAAAATACTACATATACACAAATTATTTTATTTTACCGCAATGAACAACGTCTAATGAATGTCCTGTTAAATTTTCATGCATTTCTGCTAAGCCTAAAGTTATTTTATACGTTAGTATTAAAATACTATCTATTTTTAGATGGTAAATAATTTTAATTTCTAAATTCAATTTATATCATTACTGAATAATAGTTTTTGTGACCATAGCCTAAAAGAAACATTAATATTTATTTTCCTTCTGACGAGATACCTATTATATTGTTTTAGGTCAAGGTATTAAGATTCTAAGAATTTTCGTCACCAACGTAATTTTCAAAAACTTCAAAATGTTGCAATATAATATGGTATAATAGTGGTATACAATAATATACATATAAACATTTAAAAGTGATTTTTTAAGACATGTTAAGTCTTCAGTTTTAATTGATATTTGCATCTAACCTATTTATATATAATAATTATTTATTGTAAATAACATAATATTTAAACTATAAAGGCATAGTGAAGTGAATTTATATTTATAAACATATATAATTGTATATACAATAAATATATTGGGTAATTTAAAAATGATAATTATATGCAGTGCACAGAAATGTTACAGATATTTTCTCCTATACATATAGAAAATAATGTATAATGAAACACTTTGTTTTTGAAATTTTTAGAAGCCGTTTTGGAGAGGATTTGGTGGTCAACTTTTGAAATTCAAATGACAACCTATATAAAAGTCTATAGATAGATGGAGATAGATTTGTTCAATGGAATGTTGATGTTGAAATTTTCGATTTCCATCAACCCGTTAACGAGATATTTTACTTTTTAGTTATTAACAGGGGGAGAGTAATGGAACACTACGCGCTTATCTAGTGGAACGGCACGATGCGTGGTATCTGAATAATGTTCCAATAATCTCCTCCAGCCTAAGCTAAAAAGTGGAATTAAAATCATTGTTAAACTATTACATTACTCGCTCTGTTTAGAATCTAAAATTAATCTCTTGTCATTTTTTGTTTGGAGCAATATTTTTGGTAAAAAGACAAGGTGTATACAAATTTAAAACGGTGAAATCGGCAACGCCACGGAGAACCTAAAATTTCCTTCCGGTTTTTCCCAATAATTTTGAAAAATTCTTGGAAAATCAAAAAAATGACTCTCTATTGCATTAACTAAAGAAAATTACCTTTCAGAAAATGTGCTATATTTACTTACTTTGGAGCAAGATTTCTAGGGGAAACGTTATTCATTGACACCAAAAAAAAAAAAAAAAAGGCACACATCATAGTAAAATCAATAGATCCCTCACTGAATCTAAAAGTCATACTTTCACTAACCTATTCTTGGATATGCATCCAAATTTGATGATAATTGATTTTTAAACAGCATGATAGTTATCGCTATACCATATAGTTAGCTAAATTAGTGAGTGAGTTTTGGCCTTCGGTTTTTCGAGGTTGATATGAATTCATATTCTATAAGTATATAGACGGCCGACTGGAATAATTGTTCGTTATTATTTGTTAAAAATAACATATCAAAATGCAAATTTGCATATTATAGATTGGGTTTATATTTTATACTCGTAATGATTCAAAACTCAGCATCTCACGTTCTCGGAAAAATGTTTACATAAAACATAAACATACGTAAGTAACAAGTACATATTATAATATAGTACCTATTTAAAAAAAATATATCGGCAAAACGAATTCTTAATCAGCTATCCGCTTCCATAATGAATCTATATTTTTAAACCTGCTTAATATTAAGAAAAAATTTGATCATGCGTGCACATAGAGTATTAAAAGTATGATCAAATGTCAGATATTCCAGGTAAATTGATTTTCTTTAAATGTACTACGTGTCTACGCCTCACCGTGGCATTTACCGTTTTTGTCTGTCTAAATATGCAATACAGTAAAAATATTGTGTCTTTGGACTTAAAACACGCTCAAGGTCTAATAAACCTAAGACAAAATTATTTCCTAAATTAAAGAAGACAAAATTTACTACGATTTACTAAAGGAATCTTTCGATACATTATACTTATTCAATATATTTGTAGGTTCTTGAAAATTAAAAAAAAATTATTGCTGAAGAAATATAATTCTGAGCGAAGTTCAGTAAAACATGTTTTGAAATTCAGTTAAAGTTTAAACTTAAAACAATAATTAAAAAGACGTCCTAGGATAATGGAGCCGGGTGCAGCCATTGTTATAAGTAATTTAATGTATATCTGTAAGCAACGATAAACCATTGCTAACGAAAAAATGATTTTGAACGGAGTTCAGTTGATAGTGATGCTTTATTATAGTAATGCTGGTATCATCTGCACTTTAGTAAATCCACGCAACCCGACCTTTGATAAGCATATAGAGCATGCCACTGTATTTGGCTATAGATTTCGATTTCGCAGTAGGTTTTTTTGAAGATTTTAGCTTTTTTTTTTTACAAGGCTGCTTTTATCTAAATAATTGTCTACAATTGTAAAGTCAACTTTGTCACCATTTTAACCAATCTATAACAAAGGCCAACTCAAAATTGGATCCTATACGAAGAACGTAGCAACGATGTGCAAAACATCCGCAATGAACTGATTTTTTTTTTTTAATTATAAACATTTTGTATTCTGAAAGTTAGAATTTGTAATTTATACTATTTTAATATAACAAAGTGGTTTACAGTTGTTATAAAAACTAATAGTTTTACATTTAATGAAGCGTTAAACACTAACAAGTGAGTTTTCTGTTTAGATAGTTTAATGCAATTTATGATTTAGTCCAGTTTGATTCTTAGTAATAGGATCATAATCATTTAATAATATTATAATTGTCGAAGCTTTATAATATAACAAATTAAAAACACAGATCGTGAACCAACATGAGTTACAAATTATAACCAATACTAATTGATAATTATTATACATGTGTGTATAATAATAATTATTATTACTATTATAATCATAGGCGTGTCTACGGGTCGTGTTTGTCATGCACAAGCAAGACCTGCGAAGTTTGATTTAACGTATTGTATATAGCGATGCGCCGGTGCATATTAAATATTTTTTTTTACCTATTTTTGATTTCATTTTCATAAAACATTTTTAATTGTTATCTTAAATTACAATATGATCTAAGGTTATTTTATTGATACACCATTCCTGATAAAGTGATTTGTGCCAAAATGTTATAACATCGAGATAGATAAGATTCGGATTCAGATATTGGATTGTTATCAATAAATTGACGAAACACGTTACCATTTTGTTTTTATACTGATAAATTTTCCGTAATCTGTGGTATTTTTACAAATTGTGTATAATATAAATACTAATATTAATAATGAATATGACTACAAACAAGTGTAAACAATTAAAAACTGTATGATTTTTTGACATTTGTAAAAAGTTTTAGGAACAGGTTATATATTTAATAAATAGTATCCATAAAATAATTTAATTTATACACGTTAGCATATATTTGTTAATCCAATGTAAATATATAACACGTATTTTGATTTCGTATAAAAAGAGAATTGTTTATTCTCCTGGTAAAAAAAGAAAAAGGTAATTGGTTTTTTATTACTAGGCAATAATACTTTTTAGAAAATTTGGGGTTTATCCTATTCCTTATTTGGTTTTAACCAGTTTTGGGTTAATATAATATAATACATAAATATTATTTAGATTATGCACGATCTGCAAAAGAGGTCTAGACACGTTTACGATTATCATTATTAAAACGCATGGATTTATTTATAAATAATGCAGCGCTAAAATTGGTAACGATAAAACGATTTTGTCAATAATCAAGAGAAATAAGGATAATTTTTAAGAACTTATCATTTACATAATTTTTGTTTATAACAATAAAGATATAATATAATATATATTATTATTCATATTTAAAATAAATGAAGTTATAGAGGGCGATATCTCCCTTATCCTCTCCTCATTTCACCACGCGGACTGAATAGTTAAAAGTAATAGAAAATCAATTAATAAATTATTTATTACTATATTATTTTTTCATTACGTAATACATAAATAAATACAATTATTTAAATGTTTGTGTAATAAAAACAGCAAAAAACCAAGTATGTTTTACTAAAATTGTTTATATACGTACATACCTATAAATAATAAAATTTAAAGACACTGCACTTTTTGTTTTATTATTTAATATTTATAACACTATCGATATTTCAAAATGTAGTATAATTTTGTAATTTTTTCCAAAAAGCATCTCCTCGCAGTTCCAATAATACTCTCGTCTCAGTGGTCATAGGAACATCATTTTTTTTTTTTTTTTTTTTTTATCAAAATTAACGTGAGAAGTTGATTTGTGCTTTCACAGAAGCAAATTTGAATAGCGCTTTTCCTAAGAAATTTATTTGCATTTAAATATCACGAAAAAATGTTTTTTAAAAAATAATATAAATATAATTGTGAAATATGACTGTTTAAAAATTCGTCTGTGAAAGTATAGAAAATGTTTTAACGTTTGATTTGATACAAACATTTTTGTTCTAAATTTATTTGAACCAAAGAACTAATGGAACTCCCAAAACACGTTTTAACACTCACATATTGTAACTGTGACGTCCTCTTAATAATTTATAATAATTTAATTATTATTATATAGCACATGTAATTTTATAAGATTAAATTATTTTAATGTTTGTCTAAAATTAAATACAAAATTATAAATTTTAAATTTTTCAAGAGTAGATCCATATACCCCCCAAAGGTATTTTAGAAAATAAAATATATATAAATTTGTACAGTTTTTCAACATATTATTGACATTTGACATAATATTATTATTTAGTTCAGAGATTACTTTAAAACTTAATGAGTCAATCGATTTATTATTATAGTCTTAAATTCATAATTATTTTTACACAAGCAGAGAAACACAGTCTAAATAGGTAAATACATTTTTTTTTTTTTTATTAACGTTTAATGTCAATGGATATGTTATTTAAAATCCACATTATTATAGACGTCTCCCACTTCGATCGCGTTTGTATATTGTATTTCCTCTTATTTGTTCGACCAGCAGGGGAACGGTATATAAAAGCTACTGCTTATAGACTCCGAGGTATATTATCGGTTGTGTTGGTTCAACTCAATTACACTCTTGTGTTATACTATAATATAGTATAATTCGCTGTTAATATTTTATTTATTAGTTTATTAAAAAAAAAAAAATAATAATAATAATAATGGCACGTCTTTGCTTATGGTTCGCAATGATCGCATCACTGGTCTACTGTGCATTGGCCCAAGACGCGTACACGTCCAAATTCGACGGCTTCGACGTCGATAAGGTGTTGAACAATAACAGAATTTTAACCAGCTACATTAAGTGCTTGCTCGACGAGGGAAATTGCACTGCCGAAGGCCGAGAATTGAAAAGTACGTAAAATAAATATATTTATAATAGGTACTCGAATATTACAATAATATTATTAGGTAGGTATTATTTCATTGACAAAATCAATAAGAAAATTCCAAATATAAATCAATATCAAAATTGAAATTTAGTCTTCAATGACACATAGGTACCGTAATAGTTTTTATACTTTTTTTATTTTTGAAAAAAAAACAATAATTTTCTGTGTTTTTTTCGGTAATATTATTATTGTCATCGATTTATAAACCAGATGATTACGAATTCCACTTTCTCGTACCTATATACGGCTAAGACCTTGCAGACTCAATTAGATAACACTTTCACCGGGTGATGAAATTTTTATTTATCTGGGCCGAATCACCGAGGAATGTTACCTATATGTAATTATATTATTGTATAGTTTTTATAGTTTATTATTAATATTTATATTATTACATGGGTACACCCATGTGTTTTGGAAATTCATTCTAAACTCATATTCATAACGGTATTAAAAATAGATATTAATACACTTATATACGTATATATTAGTTTTTATTTCGTTTTATTTCTTAGAAATTATGTACATGTATAATATGATTCGAGTATAAAATATTATTGTTTTGTTTTTTATGAAAATGTTTGTAGAAGTGTTGCCGGACGCGTTAAGAACCGACTGCAGTAAATGTTCGGATGTGCAAAAACAAAGATCTGAAAAGGTGATAAGGTTTTTGATCAAAAATCGATCCGACGATTTCGACCGTTTGACTACCAAATACGACCCTTCTGGCGAGTACAAGAAGAAGCTAGAAAAATACGAAAAAACACTTGCTTCTCAAAATTAAGCTGTATTAACATAATTTTCCTACATAAACTTTTCATGTTAATAAAAGCTTAAAAATAAGTTGATGTATTTTTTTCATATATTGTGGTGTTTTAATATAATATTTAATTAAGTATACTCATCTACTTATCTGTATATGTATTCAGTAACGTGAATATATATAAATTATTTATAAATAAAACAAAATTAAAATAAATGTGTTTTTATTTGAATTGAAATCATTATTTAACATTATAAGTACAAGTGATTATTCTCGTTTAATCACAATCAGTTATTTCTTCATCTGATTGAATGGATTTATAATTTTTTCCATACATTGAGCGGATCAATGACCATTTATTTGGATAACATTTTTTCCCATAGTTTATTATTCGTCGAATATAATATTTCTGCATTTTGGAACACAGTTTACATTCGTTCCTAATTTCTTCTTTGACGGTTGCTTAAAAAAATAAATATTGATTAGACATTTTTACTAATTACTGATTATCTGCAAGCGAGGATTTCTAACAATCGTGTTTAAAATTAAATTAAATTGAAATTATTAGGGAAACCAATTAACGGTAAAATCGATTTATTTGAATTATACATTTTTCGCACTTATTTCACAGCGGTTTTGGTTCGAATGAAGTATTATTAAATACCATAATACTTATCAATATTTAATATCGATTATAACCGAGAAAAACATAAAATGTTGTTAATAATACATTATAGGTGTTTACCTATCATTCTCTTTCCAAGGGAGTCACACTGTCCCTGATTTGCGACACACTTGAAAACTTGCCTTGCGTATTCTTTGTTTCTAATTTTTAACATGTCAAAATTAGTGATAAAATCCGGTTTAGGTTTTATCGTTGTATCGACGAGTTTCAAATATTCGGCCGTTTTATGCAAGTAGTCGGTGATACCTCTTTTGGTCAGATGAATTTCCTTGTTCTTGCCGTTTTTGATTGTATTTACATCGGCGGTGGTCATGCATTGTTGTATTAATCCAACAATGACGATTAAGCGCACGAAATATAATACTCTACACTCAGACATGTCTATAGTAGGAATGCAATATTACATTGATCTATGAATTCTCAACAAGTGGCTCTGTGTAACATAACAAATAAATACATATATTATTATATTTTTTCCCCTCTGACATTAGTACAACAGTAAGGTAGAGATAATAGTCGATACCTAACAATATATTTCTGTAGAAAAAAAAAAATGATAATATACATATAGAACGTTAAAACTATTTTGTAATAAAACAATATTTATTCAAAATATAGTTTTAGATATGGGCAAATAAAAAGGTACATCGGTTAACTTTAAAATATTTTAATATTATTTCTATTATTTTAACCAGATCATATATATTACCAGATTATTTAACCGTCATATCATTCGAGTTAACAACAGTTAATAGCTATGAGTATAAATAGGTAATTAATACCTTTTGGGTACAGCAATTGTAGAGATTACCTACACGTAATTTAAGTTGCAAGAATATTTATCTTAAATTACTACAATTATTAATTGTAGACGATTTTTATGGTTTTCAATCCTGTATAATAAAACGCTTAATTTGATTTGTTCTTCAATTCCCGTCAAGTTTTTTTTTGCTTCCCTTGTCATTTCACGTTGTTTGATAAACAAAAGTCAGTTCATCGAAAACTGATAAAACTTGTATACTGTTGTACCCTCAGTTACATATTATTTACAATATATTCTTACAAAAATAACACGAATAACCCGAAAATATAACAGCAAAATAAAAAATAATGTATTGGTTATTTACATTTAAATAATAATAATATTAATAGATAGACTACATAGAAAAGTGATCACCATAATAATTTTCAAAAACTGATGATTATTTTTTATTAAATACTTTATGCACTTATCACTATTGACAGGGTCCAGAATTAAAACGATTTTAATTTTAAATATTTATAACGTTTAAAATGCAATAGTTTTAACAATTACCTATTTATTAAGAAATATTGTCACGGATGGGTTTTAATTTTAAACATGTACATATACATACACAGTGGCGGATTCAATGGAGGGCCGATAAGGCCCGGACCCCTCCCCCTCACCCTTAGCAGTTATATTATATTTATAGTTGTAATAATATGAGTTAATAATGATTATAAATCGTCGTCCAAATTACGGTTAGACCAATTATTACGATAGTCCATAATGTTGATACTTGATTGTAATCTCATATGTATTTTATATTTAGTGTTTATTGTTCAAAATGAATATGAAAAATTTTGGGCCTTTCCCCTTCCCCATAAAAAACAATCCTATATCCGCCACTGTATGTGTCTGGCTTTTATTATGAACATTATACACACAATTATACTGAATATGATGTAAGGATTATACTCACAGAAATCAAACATAGAAGCTGTTACTTCGGTTAGTTACTTGTTGTGTTGTGTACGATGAACTGATCGATATATTTAAAACGGTTTATAAAAATGATGATGACAACAAAATTAATTATTTCGAAGTTAATAATTTATAACTATATGTTACAGTGATTCACAAAAATACCTATCGAAATATATATATCATTGTAAAATAATTAGACCTATTAACTAGATAAACTATACTATTATGCACGCAATTAAAATGAGATCGGTTGTACAAAAGTATTGGTGTAATACGATGACAAAATTATGTTTTATCTTAGACTTAAAACACTTAATACGAAAGTAAGTCAAATTTCATAGTTATTTGATTTTTCGATAATTTATTGTGTCTAATATATTTTGCAATGATAAAAATTAAAAATAGTATCAATATTATTATTACTATTATTTTTAATTTTTTTAAATAGTTACTATTAAAAACTATGTAAGCAGTGCTCGAAGTGGTTGGAGAGTTTCTTTAGTTCTCTTACTAATTATTTCTATTGGGATAAAGGGATGGTACGTCTCTTTTTGTAAATAATTATCTTTAAAACGAATGTATGTATTACCAATTTATTTGTTATACGTTTTGTTATTTGTTATTATATTTATTACACTCAATATTGTACATTTTTCTTAAAATGATTAAAATTTAATATTAGAATATTATTAATGGTAATAAATATAAAATAAATAAATATGTAAACACAAAAGTAGTTTGTAAGAGTATTATTGGTTGTTTTTGTTTTTTTGGAAATTACAGTTTTTTAAAATAAAGATAAAAAAAAAATTAGTGAAGTAAGAGAATAAGGCTTTTTTATTTTTCCATTAAGACCACGGTATATGAACACATCTTAGTGTTTAAAAGTTTAATATATGAATAAGCTATCGTAAAATTTTCCTACGTGTCTTTAATAATTATTGCGGGAATTTGTTTCAATTTTTATAGGAAGACTTAACCGCTTCTGTTGTTTCCAAATACAAACTGTGATAATTTTTTGTGACGATAATAAAAGATTGATTTAATATATTTAACACGAGTTTGCGTTTTATAAATTTATGTTTAGCATATCATTAAATGATTATAATATCGTAGAAAATTACGTTAATTTATAAAATTACTAAAATAATATAATATAAATCGATAACAACAATATAAAAACATATTGTGTTGGTATATTATAATATTATAATCTCAAGGGTGCAATGGCATAAGCTATCATAACAGTAATATTAATAAAACCGCCATACGATGACAGTAATTATTTACTATTGAGAGTAAGTATTGCAATTAGTCATAGAGAAAGCGTTCGAATGAGGATATTCTATGATAGAGAGTAGAGTAATAGTCACAGATTAAGATATCTCAAGAGCATGCTCATGGGGGGATGAGGGTGTTTTATCCCCCCAATGATTTTTTTTTTCATGAATTTGTTTGAAGTTCCTTGGTAGTTTCGTTTTTTTCGAAAAAAAAAGTAGTACATAGTTGGTTTTAATTTTTAGTCATGTTAATTTTTATCATGTATATAAAATATATTTAGAAGATACTATAGTAATAGTAATTATCTATAGATAACGCAAAAATATTATTGAAAATAAAAAAGGTACCAATGGACTATCCTAATATTCCAGTCTAATATATTCTGATAGCTATGTTATAAACACGATTATCGGTTTATTAATATTTCATCAATATAGTATTTATAGTTATGCAATTTTTAGCTATGCTATGATAAAACTCAAATTTCAGAACGCAAAATTTTGACCAGCGAACGTAGCATAGCGTTGCTTTTTTTTGCTAACGAGTCTAGCTCTAGACCGAAGTATTTAATTTATTTGTAGGCATCTGTTACTACCCCGCTGACCTGGATCCGGACTTCATTATGTAGTCTAGAGTGGTTGATCACTAGAGCCTCCGATTTGTAAACAGCTAACTCGAGGCCTACCTCGGAGAGCCAATTTGAGACCCACGCAGCCGATGACGTGAGGAGGTTCCCCAGCTTGTAATTGAATTTCGCTTTGGCTATGATAGCGGTGTCGTCAGAAAATACCAATCAGGGACACGTTCATAGGGGGGCAAATATTGAGGAGGTCGTCGAAAACGATGTTTCACAATGTGGGGCCTAGGATGAAGCCTTACGGGACATCCAGAGGTTTATCCCCTTCTTCACAAGAACAAGTCAAGCTCGTTTTCAAATCTTTGGATTTAATAGGTGCCTTCCGCCAGGGACCTATTGAACATGTCCGCTAGGGCATGAGGTTGATGGTTTGTGACGAATTTGATTACCTCTTTCGGAACGCTATCAGGCGATTTTGCACTTAAGGGATTGAGCTGCAATCTGGAGTTCCTCAATGGTGATGGGCAGTTGGTTGCTTCGATGTGGCATTCCGGAGGCCATTCTTCCGGGATCAGTGGGGGATTTATCATTTTGCTTTCTTGGTCGCCTCGAGAGTACGCTTAATAACGTGGAACCGGAAACTACCAAGAGAATGATCGTCGGAACACTCTTTGGAACATAGAAGGCATTTCGGGTTGTTGTTGTACACCTTGCTGTGGTGTTCTTTTGCACCGCAATTCGAGCAGTGGTTTTGCCTATCCGGACACTTGCAATTGAACCGCCTGTGACCAAAGTCTTGGTATTTAAAACACTTCATAACCTGCGTAGAGCAGTGGACTCTGCAGTTAACATAGCCGATTCTCAATTTAATTGTAATCAAGGTGGCTGCTAAGCTGGTCGGAACGCTAATCAGAACGGTTTGGGTTCCTCGACCGTTGTTTTTTTTCCTCAGGGTTGGCGCGTTTACCAGGGGATCTGCCTTGTCCGAGATGGCCTGCAGGATCTTCTGATCCGAAGCTTCTTTGTCCACGTCTCTGATCTCCAGCAGGCTATTGTCCGTTAGTTTTCTACAAGTACTGTTGCCCACAGCGTAAGCAATCGCTTTGGTTAAGCCTTCTGGGTTCTCTGCGTTTCTCTTCTGGACTATTCAAAGGTGACCATCTCTGGTTTTGTTGATGGAATCGATGTTATTATTCGCTTCCTTCACACTTTGGTCGGTCTTTATTTTCCTAAACTGTTCTGCATACGTTGAGCCCTCAACGTTCACGATAACTGCGTCGGGTTGGCCTAGGCACTTTTTCGGTTTCCTTTCTTTGGACGTTCTTGTTGAGTGTCTGCATATTCTCTAACGAGGATGTTCCTCCGTTGGTAGACTTCCTCACATTCTTGACAGGATCTGCTTCCTTTTGGATTTTTGGCCCATTTCTGCTTGCGTCGAGCATTGCTCGCGGAAGTAGCTTGATGCTCTCCATGATGAGATCTATTTTCTCGCCTTCCTTAGCAAAGGTCGTATCCTGATGTTGAACCTTTCTTGCATCAGAGATGCGAGCTGTGGCTCTACATTATCATGCTGGACGCTCTTGGTTTCAGACACGGTTCGACCTGGCGGTAAGCGAGATTAAGGGCGCTATGTACAGATTCTCTGTTCTCATATAGTTTGTCCGAGACATCCTCTATTTTCCCTATAGCTTCCACTGTGAGGTGGGATTTGGTCTTGTGTTATATCGATTTTAGTTTATTGACTTCCTTAAACAGGGAGTTAAGGATTTCGTTTTACAGTTTAAGCTGCTCCATCAGCTTTCTTACCGTGTTGACACTTGAAGCGCTGGTGATCGAGCTAGTGAAGAGCTTTTTGAGGAGAAGCCTAGATTCTGAGTCTTCAGTGAACCTGTGTACCGTGTCTCTTGTGAGAGCTGCATCTAGTTTTCGTTTTGAACCCGCGTCCTTAGCTCCATCTGGTGCATGTTTTCTAAGCGTTTCAGAAGTAGTGTTGCCAAGAGCGGGGGCCTTGCTGGACACCCCTGTTTCTGGGATCAGGCTGATCTCGAATTTTTGGACAGGCCACCCCCAACCACTGGCTCTGGGGTTTCCGAGGCCTCTGAAGTAATAACTTTATTGAATTTGTGGTTGTCTTCACTGATGATTTTTGAGGCAAATTCTAGCCTGCATTTTAGCCCTACCACCAGGGGGATTTAGGATCAGTGTTACTTTCACCTAGGACGGTTGCTTTCCGAGACCAAGAGCCTGTCCTACCCTTGGAACATCTTCGTCTGTCCTCAGTCCTTCAACCTGTCCAACATAGGTGACCCTGCAGTGAGTAGACTGCCGTTGGCATAACTATCCGGACTGTGGAGAAACGCAGGCCCCCTCACCACGACAAGGAGAGGTCCGTGAGGGGGAAAAATCTAACCTAGTCTAAACTATAACAAACTAACCTAACCTAACCTATGGTTTCCAATAAAACTAGAATTTTTATATTATTATTTATCCATGACCATAATGACGGGACGATCGATCGTCAGTAGTAATTATTCTGTGATACTATATAAATTGTATAAACAATGTTTAGATTTTTAGAACCTTTTTATTTTAAAACCTTATTGTAACTAATATTATGAATGAAAATAGAGCATGTTTTTTTTTTTTTTTGTAAATAATTGTATCTTTATTTCATCATTCGACAGTATAGGTTAAATAATTTTAAGTTACACAAGTATACAATTTTTACATGTACGTATATAATATTTACATTTTTACAAGTATACGTACATTTTATTCATTCGCGGTTTTCTATCACCTTATTCTTTTATATGAAATTCGTGCAAGTCTTGATGATATGATATTGGATAGGAAGGTTTTAAAAACAAGACTGATGTAAATAACACAACAATTTGTTTATTAAATATTAATACAATATAGAGGTAATATTGTTAGTGCGTATATTGTTGTTGTTGCGACCGTGGTTCCTAATCGGTGGAATATTGTGATGTTGTTTATGGAAAATGTGCAGAAAACTGCAGCTTGTGGACCTGTTTACCTAACACCCTCCTTAACCGGGTAGTCATATTTCCGCTATAGTGTTCTCTTCCTCTGTACTAGATCTGCGGGTTCCGTATTTGACGTTGATTTCATTTGTGTGAACGCTTCAGCAGAGAAAAATGATTAGATATTACTCGATTTAGATTCTAGATTGAAAATACTATTTAATTTATTGTTTAAATCGTATGCGATAGTCCGATTTTTTTTCCATCGTTCGCATTAAGTGTGGAAAGATTTTTTATCAGATCGTCTAATTTTTCACGCAGTGATTTAAAATGGACTGTGTTTTTTTCGATCTGCAGTCCGCGTGAGGTTATACAACATGAGTTACGACCAAGAAAAATTAATATACTTTACAAATTATAGAAACTAAGGAAATTGTTCAAAAATAAACGGGAGATATTTTGAACAAGGGATATTTTGATGCATAGGATATTTTAAGGAGGGACTCAAATTGTATGCTTGGAAGATGAAAAATTGTCTTCAATTCAACATTGATAAATGCAAAATTATATCATTTCCTTTGAGATCAACCTTTGAGTTTGGATCCATAATTGTATATTAACCTAATTTAAATTTCTTGTTTCTTTCATTTACAACATGTTTTTATACCAAAAAATGTGTCTAATTAATTTAAGCGTAAGGCATGCATCATAAAAAATAACTGGGTCTTTAGAAACAGATTGCTCAAAAAATCAAAAAAATCTAGATTCCCTCATACTGAAATTAACTACTACAAATTTGTACATAATTGTATTAATATAGGCACCACCACAAGTGACGGTATACTCTTGCTCCTATTTGATGCATAAGCTTTAAAATTGTTTTCATTTAATGTAAATGAAAATTTGTTAATGAATATCAATACTGCCTCCAAAAGAACTAGTACATATTATGTTGAATGTGGCAAATTAATAGTATTTATGTTTAATCCAATGTCCATATTCACAAACCATACATTTATTTACCCTTATATTCTATCTGATTCCTTATTGACATTTTATCTATTACAATTGTAAAAATACAACTTTGTCTTTAGCTTTAAATGATATAGCCTCGACCGATTAGTTTTTAAATCCTGGCTCTCCATTAATTAATTTTTGCTATTTTTAATAAACTTGGGTTGAGGAAGAACATTATTAAAAGATTTATGAACAAAAATATATTCGTTTGGGGTGTAAAATCTAAGGGTTAAAGCAAATCTTCAAAGCTTATCTGAATATTATTGAATTTTTATTATGAATTATGTTACTTTTCTTTTAATTATGTCACACAAAGTATCTGAAACAGACTTCTATTATAATCAAGGAAAACTAATAATAACAATATGGAAGACTAAATTCATTATTTCAACTTATTACTATTATGTATTTTAAACAAACAGAAAACATGTGAAATTGACTAAAAACATTTTAAAATAATAATTGTATTAAATATAATCATCAACATGTTTCACTGACATGTAAACACAATAAAGTAATACTCAAGTCAAATTATGTACAATTTATTACTATTACAAAAATTATAAACAAACATAAAGAACTATTTAAGTAATTACAAGACAAATGCATATATTAATTATATATATAAATATTTATTAATATAAATGACATAAATATTCATGCACAAAATACCTAATCCCATCTAGCACCTACAAGGTTGAAAGTAACCTAATTTAATAAATGACAACAAATAATATAAATATGTGCAAAGTTAGATAAGTAGTGAGCAAATTTTTAAATTCTTAAAAATTAAAATATAATGCGAATATGCTTCTTTTAAAATACCTTGAAATAATTTCTTTATATTCCTTTTCCTTAAACTTTTAATTGAAAGAATTTATAGATTTGGACACAAGTTTTAGCTATACATAAGTAACTCCATTTTTATATAAGTGATTAAAATTGACTTAATTTCATAAAAGCAATTTTCAGTTGGAGTGACTTAATCAGGCATGTTTGTAAGGTGGGTTTTAGGGGTTCACCCATCCCTCCCAAAATTTCATGAAAATTTTGATGAATTCAATTTTTAATAGTCCCAAAGTGGTTTCTGTCAATGGGAAAGATAAATACAATTTTCCTATTATTTTTATTTTATTACTAGATAGAAGGTATACGAGTATATTGTTACATATGAATATCATTTCTAATTTTTTGTGATTTTCCTGCTTTTAGAAAATTACAACTAATACAGTGATATTGCACAGTCCGCATTATCATCACAATAATATAAATTATGTTATCGCCTCATGGGTGTCCGGGTAGGCCGTGAGCCCTGTAGATTTTAATATCGCCCTCACTTCAATTTCAAATCATAAATTAATTATGTACAATATTAATTCATTTTTCACTATGTTAAAATTATAAATAAATTGTATGTGGCCCACAACAACTTTAACTTACATGACGGCACCCAGTCTTCAAAAAAGGTCGGACACACCTGATTTAGGCTGTATTCAATAAAAAATATTAAGAGTAAAATTTAGAAATAGTTACCCAAAAGACTAAAAATTTGGGAAGGTAGTAGAGGATAAATTGAATTTATATCTTTAAGCAATGATAAACCATTGCTAACAAAAAAACGATTTTGAATAGAATTCCGTTGATAGTGTTGCTTTGTCAACAATATGTATGTTATAATATGGTAAAATAATTACATAGGCATTATACATTTTCTTTAGTAATATTTGTTAAATATTGTACTTATTTTCCTATATTTTTCCTCAGGTTTTCCTATTTATTGGGAAAAAGTTGTTCACACGAAAAATAAATAAACATTGTAAAAACATAACCTTCTTCGCTCCACTTAGAATCTAACATGAATTTTATAAAATATTGACATTTTTAATGAAAAATACATAATCATATAATAGAAAATATGTGAACTAATTTATTATAAGAGTATGCAAGTGTACAACCTTAACACCCCCCCTGAAATATTTGTTTGTAAATACACCTGGACTTACTTAGCCCTATACCTAATAAATCAACATAAAAAAACATATATATTTCATACTAGTACAATAATTATTCAAAAAATATTACAAACATTTAAAATTAACAGAGAGAATAATTCATTTGAAGTTGATTAGCAGCATTTTTAGGTAAACATGTTCGTTATTCAAAATGTTTAATAAAAGCCGCATAGGTAGCAACTTAATTCTGAAAACAATTTATTTGCTTTCTTTTACTTATCAATTTTTTTTGTTTTACATTGTAAATTTGTATGACCATTTTTAAATGATTCTTAATTCTTCCCAGGAGAGGAAACATGGTCAACTTCCCAATCACCAATACTACTTGGATTTAAAACTTTCTGCCTTTTCAATAAGCTTGAAGATACACTTGAATTCCTTTTAGTCGAGACATTAGGTGTCTTAATTAGTGATTTCCCGACAAATGTACTAAAAATAGAAATTACAATACAAGTAATAATAAAATGTGTAAAAGTAATTATTCTTATCTTAAAAATACTTATTTAAACTTATTGTAAATAATTAATTATTTCGGTAATAATAATTATTAGTCATAACTCAACTATAAATGGTCAATTAAATTAACATTAAATTATCTTTATTTTATTTTATACCTTGTAATTTGAGAATTAAATATATGTGCAGTTTGAAATCTAGGTGAAACTGAATGCTCGTCAACTTTTCTGGAAAGATAATTATGTAATGATATGCTGTATATTACAAACATAATGAGCTCTTACTCGGTCAATGAGGAAGGGATTTCAGGTTGGGAACTGGTTATAAATCTATTAACACACTCAATTTCATGACCAGTTAAATCCAAATCATCAATAAGTTGACTGAAAAAATTAATTTTGTTTCTTATACAACGTTCAAAATTAAACTAAGTGAAATATAAAATAATTGTATACTTATACTATAAGAATATATTTAAATTGTAATTATGTATTTATTTTATTATTTCAGAAATACCTAGTGGGAACACTTGAAGCAAACATTTGATTGGTTATAGGAATGGCATTTTTTTTCAATAGGCCATGACATAAAATATCTTCTGGTAAAAAATGGTTTGAACATATCCTGTATGAAGGAAGACACAGTTTTATACTGCATTTCTGCATCCATATTTTTCTCTGACTAGGATCTTTAGGAAACCTATAAAATAATATTTTGATTACATTTATTAATGAATATTGAACAATTACTTATTAAATTATATATTTAACAACTCACGAATGAAAAGAAACTCCACATTCTACAACTTCTTTCATGTTACACATTACACATTTACGAACCATTATATAATCGTTTATATGAAAAAAAAATTATATGGGGCGAGTATAAAATACAAATTTGGTTTGATTACACAAGCCAAAATACACTCATAACAAATACACTAACAAAGCACTCAACAGACAGTGTGACCAACATAAATAAAACGAATTATGCAAATATCACTGAAGAAATAATGCAGTTAAAAAATTAAACCAAAGTGACAAGGAAAAGACCAAGAAACAGGGGATGCCGAGGAAGAGGTTTTGAGGGTTCAAACTACCTTCAAATTGACTAACTGATTTTTGTTCAACCTAATATAATTAACAAATTAAATAAATATATCTATAAGCATGATATTATTGGAAAATCTGAAAATATAATATTGTTGCCGACGACCCTTCAAATTGAAGTGACTTGCGACCGAAATCAGAAATTATAGATACAATATTTTTGAAGTATATTTATTAATTGTTAGAAATATTCAAACACTTTATTTAATTTTATAAAATTATTGTCGTGAAGATGCTCGCAGTTAATGGTTCAAGACTCGTTTGCAAAGACGCTGCGGGCGTCCAGTATATACAGGCTGTCTCACGAAGATATACCCCTTGAATATCTTCGGAGATAATAAAGATAAACAAATTCTGTTTTTTTTATATATATATATATATTACTCATAGAAAATAATGTAATACAAATTATTTTATCTGAAAAAAGCAAAAAGTTGACAAATGTTTGAGCTTTCAAAAACAGGTTTATTGGGTCGATAAAAAAAGGCAAATTTTTAAAATTGCGATGTACAAAATATGATTTGTATCACCCTTATAAACACACTCTTGAAACATGTATAATTATTGTAATTAATGGCTTTAGATGTCGGGATATTTTAAGATCAATAAAAAGAAATCTATTCTGAACAAGAGCAATGGACAACATAATTATGACGGAAATACATTAAATAAAAATTATTTTTTAATAATATTTTACGGTACCTATTTTGTCTTCTGCTAGAAAAGTTGTTAACAGATAAAAAAAAATAAATAAATATCTTTGTAAAACCATAAGCTTCTTCGCTCCACTCAGAATCTAAAATTGATTTATTCCACATACTAATTTTATATGTACACATTTTAGTCGAACGATTTCCATTAAAATGTAATATTAAAATTCCTGAATAAAAAGAAAATACTATATTAATCTAAATTTTTGTTTTTTACCATAAAGTACAACTTTTAATGAACTTCCTGTTCAATTTTCAAGCATTTTTGTTTAGTCTAACATTTTACTACACAGTACCTACTGAATTGAAATTACTTACAAAACTCGCTCAAAATTGAAATGTCTAATAGCTCGAATTTTCGAGCTATTAAAATTATCTTTTTCTAAAATTGGCTACATTTTTTTAAAAATTTTACCTTGTTTGTTACTTCTATGTAGTATAATTACTATTTCACTACATTACTTATAAATTAAATTATAAATCTGCATTATTTTTTGAAGATAATCCACAATAGACACATTTAATACACCATAATTTATTAGTAGATAGCAGACTATAATTATATTAGAGGGTAGAGACTAAAATCGTTAATTTAAAATTATAATTTAGATATATCGTGGTGGCCGGATGACGGTAAAATTAACAAAACATTCATGATGAGCACGGTTTAGGATATACAGGTTAAACAACGGCCTCTAAAAGATAATGCTTTATAATGACCGGCGAACTATCTGAATCAGCTGGTACCCCAGTACTACTAGCGCACCATGAGGACTAATTTATAGTTTCTATTATCATTGATTATACACATGACTCTGCATAATCAATCCTATTACTTATAACATAAAGCCCGGTTCACGAGATCAAATATTTAGCTTACGTCAAACTTCAAATATTTTAGAAACATTTCTAAAATATTTTACAGTTTTGTTAAATAGATTGATAACAAATTATTGTTATCATACATCATGATTATGAAATATAATTTACAGTATTGAGTATTTACACATTTTATTACCTATACAAAATTTTAGATCAAATTTAATTAGTTTTCAATAACATTGGAGAGAGTACAAGTATGTATTACTAGATTGAACACTGAACCGATCAGTAGGTACCACTAAAAACTGGTGGTCATGAATTATTTACATTTATGAGTTTGTGTTTTTGGATTCTTGGGAGAATAAATTATTATTTTAGGTAAATAATATAATGTGGACAATGAATACGTATTCAAAATTACAAGGAAATTTCTTTAATTGTAATACACACATGACATACATCATAGTAAAACCAATAGATCCCCTTGTTACACTCCGAATATAATACTTACGAAACACCCCCCGAATTAGATACTAATGCATACCTACTGCTTAAAAAGTTAAAGTAGGTACTTATATAATTACCTACTTACTTACTTATTTTTTAACCTTGAACGTTGATTTTTGAACAATTTCCTTAGTTTTTATAATTTATAAAATATATTAATTTTTCACGGTCGTAACTCTGGTTGTAGCTCTAATGTAAGAATATCCTAATAATACAGTAAATTTCTAAGATCTTACAGTTTCCATAATAAACAATAAATTTGATTTTAGTACTTGTAAAAAACCTACACAAACTGACGCTGTAATACCACATGATTTGAATCACCATTATTCTCAAAAAATATCAGTTTTTAATTTAATATTCTATAGACTTGAACGTATTCCAACAAACATAATTATAAACACGAGCTCAATATTATCTATAATATAGCCCATAGAAATAATTTCAATTTAAATACAATTAAAAAAAGACGTCTAAGGATAACGAAAACGGGTGCAGCTACTGTTATAGATAATTTAATGTATATCTGTAAGCAACGATAAACCATTGTTAACGAAAAAACGATTCTAAGCTCATTTCAGTTGAGAGTGATGATTTGTCAACAATATAAATGTTATATTATAGTAAAATAATTAAATAATTAAATAAATATAATTTTGTACCTATTTCACCGTTTTTTCCATTTATTGGGAAAACTCCAGGGAAAATTAAAAAAGACCTCGCTGAAGTACCACCCAAGTCCGATTTCATTTTAGGAAAAGTGCTATCATTGTAAATTGTAATATACCTATAATGTACAATAGGTATAGTGTTTAAAATGTACCTACCTACTTCGTGAGGTTTACCTTGAAGGACACTGGTTTGCAAACATGGTCTTAAAATCCTCATAAATATTATATAAATAAATAAATAATTTTAGATTCTAAGTTAAGCAAAGAAGCTTATGATTTTACAATGCTGTTTATTTTTTGTTATTTTTTTTTTTATCTGTGCACAACTTTTCTACCAGCAATTATGCTCCGATTTATAATGATAGTACTTTTTTTAAAAAAAAATTTAAACGAACGAAAAGTGAACGAAAAATTAAAAATGATAAGAATTGTTTTTGGAAACCCTGCCGTATTGCGCACAACGCACACGAAAAATACGATACCTAACCCGACGCGGTTTTGTATAAGAAATGAGGGTTTATTTTCGATTAATTTTCTCCATTTGCCATGTTACAATTAAATACAGCAGTACTCAGTATTCAAATATTACAAATTTAAAACAATATAATAGGTAAGGATTTTCCCTCCTTTATTTTATCCTTATCATTATTTGTCCTTATCGTTTTCGTGCAACCGGACCCATTCCACACAACCGTTGTAGTAGTATAATCGGAGCAGCCTGCAGTGTAGGTTTACAGTAGGGTCGTGAATGACATTCGTAAGTCGTAACAATTGGAATTTGCAGTAATCGTATAATATTTATACGATTCACGTGTGACAGTAACAATTAAGTATCGGAGTAATATTATTTAGTGACTGTTGATATTCGGAGTAGTGGTTCGATCCCCGTCTTCGGTGCACATTCGGAAACCAATTCAATAATATGAATATAAATAAAGACAAAGGTTATTCTTTTACGTTAAGGTGCAGTCCTATACTATAATACGACTTACGGTGTTATTAACCTGAGCGTTCATTGGCCATAGTGTCCGCCGAGATCTGAGAAATGGTCAAGGACGGTGTAAGTGGATGGTTAGACCTAACACTTCGTAACATTTGACCGGCCAATGTTATTAGATACTCGTTAATTGTTATCATTATCGGACTAACCGAAATTCGACGGAATAATGTAACGACACGCACACCGAGTGTACCAATATGTTGCATTGGACAATTGATTTTCCCAAGTACGAAGATTTGTCGAACAAATAAACATTTTCGACACTCGGGTACATACATTATCAGTGTTGATGTACCGTGATAATAAAAAATTGATAACGACGGCGGCAACTGGAGCCGCCGTCGGCGCGCGATATAAAGCGTCGGCTGCAGGCCTCAGCTGCCGCAGGCCCGTAGCTGCGGCGGCTGCCAGCTGCTGCAACACCGTCGTCATTGGAGGTGTGTTTTGTGTTTATTATTATATGAATCATTTTACAGCATTATCATGGCGGTTCTCGACCGGGTGTCGCGCGTTTTATTTTTACACTCAAAGACGCGCCTGGGCACAGTGCTATAATTATCTGCGTGGTCCACCGGCGCACGTTAGCTACAGTCGGCAGTGTGCAGCCGGCAACGTCTCTCGACCGAAAAAGAAAACGTACTAAATAGGTACACCGCCGTCTTCTCGATTCGCACCGACGCCAAAAGCAGCAACAGGAAAAATGGACGCCGAATCATTTTTGGAATTTGCCAGCCATGTGACCAAATTGAAGATGTACCCGTACTTTGATGTGGCCCACAGTGTACTCTGCGCACTTCACGTGCGAGACGACCTCGGTCCAGGTAAATGTACTTGTATAGCAGAAAGCAGTAGGCCCGTTGCGACACCCGTCGCGCGGCCAGTTCACTTGTAATGTTTTATGTGGTGCTTTCGTAGGTGCACTGGCTTTTTCCCGTAAGCACCCTATATCCTGTTGGCTGTCCACAATGTTGGTCGTCTTTGCGGGTGGTATGCTGAGCGCTGCACTGCTCGGCGAACCTCCTCTAGCCCCGCTTAAAAATACACAACAACTCGTGATCGCTTCAGCTGTCTGGTAATCAATATATCTAAGTGTACAATTGCTTCGTCTGTATTATAATAGTCCGTTTGTAGGTATTTAGTTTTTTATACACCGTTTGATATCGGGTATAACATTGCCAAGTTCCTTCCTGTAAAATTGGTGTTTTCTGTCATGAAAGAAATTTATCGGTATGTTGTTATTCAAAGTTTATTTCGTTATTATTGTTAAGCGCATTGTGCACACGTTTAATTCTGTACGTTTTCAGTTGCAAAAAGGTCCACGACGGTGTATTGCACGCTGCCAAACTATATCCTAATGCGTACATCATAATGATTATAGTTGGAACCCTTAAAGGTATTGAATGAGTCAGATTTATATTTTAAAGACACATCTTTAATCGTGATTTTAATTGATTACCGTTATTAATGGCGAGTAATATTTAATTTGTCAATTTTAGGAAATGGTGCTTCATTTACAAAGATAATCGAGAGGCTGTTACGTGGAGTATGGACACCCACATCAATTGAAACGTTACAACCTAGTTTGTATGTGAAAAATTTGTAATAATTTGAACAATAATTATATTAAATTACACGTATTCTTTGTAGCACTACTAAAGCGTGCATTATAGCATCTGTGGTGTTCGTGCTTGATATTAAAAGTGATTTGATATCTGCTCCACATGCATTTGTCTACGTTTTTGTCATTGGATTCTTCATATACTTCAAGGTTTGTACAATAATTTAATGTAGACAGCCAACTATCTATGGTCATTACAAAAGTATAATTTTTCTTGCTTTGTAAACTATTGAATATTGATGTAGGAATATAATAAATGTAAAAAAGATTCTTTGAGTAAATTGTTTAATAAATAATTTGGTACTTTTGTCATAAAAAATAAAAATCTCAATTTGAAAATTAAAGAAGATCTGCCTAGATCAGTATTCCTCAACCTGGGGGCTCAACCCTTTAGAAATTCGCCAAAAATATGATTTCATATTGGGTCGCCGTGTATATAATATATATTTAAGGGTCGTTAAAAAATTATATTTTCATTTAGGGGTTTCGACATTAGAAAGGTTGAAAAACACTAACTTAGATAATACAATATATATTGAACAATTTTTCTGAATATAATACTCTGTACTTAGAGTCACTGGGGTAATTAGAAAAAAAATTTGTTAGTTCTATAAATTATTAGTAGCTGTACATATAATTTAAGTTTTTTTTGTATGTGCATTTTTTTCATTATCATCTTAATTTAATACTTATATTAATTATAAATATTCAATTTAAACTTTAATACTATTTACTTTACATGAAAAATACTATTTTCATTTGCTCGTCATGATAATTATAATGTCAACTATTGGAAATAATGAAAACATTATGTTTTTACTTGAGGTAAACGATAATATATTGTGAAGACCAAAAATGGTAACGGTGTTTTCAAATATCAATCTTTTGAATGTGACTTCAATATATCGGTTCGTTATCAAAACATGTATTGAATGTTAATTTAACATTAATATTTTCAAATGAAATTATTTGTTGTCTTCACATTGAATATTTTATATATTTAAAAAAAAAAATTGTTTTAGAAGTTAGTACTCAAATATTAACAATAAAATATAAATCAGATTTATGTATCTATAATATAAAATATATAATAAAGAAAAATTTAGGTTAGAGTATATGTTATGTGTATTTACAAACTGTTTTGATTTAAACAATTACCATCAGGTAATAGTTCTCCTATGGCAAACAAGTATATTTATTAATTTGTTACAAACATTTTTTTTATACTTTTAATTAATTTTGTGTCTACTAGAGGAAAAATAATAAATAATAATTAAGGAATAATAATATATTTCCCCATGGTTGTACTTTTATCTAAGGTAGATTTTTTAAATCAAAACCAGTTATAAATATACACAACCTAATCCAAGCTAAGTTTATTCTTCATATTTTTTTAATTTTTATTTTCTCATTTATGTTTACTTTTAATAATAACTAAATTATTATTTTTTAGGTGTTTTCTTCAATGATTTTAGGGATACATGAGCCAATGTTACCATTTGAAAACTTAATATGTGCATTGTTCTTTGGAGGAATATTTGATTATACTACAAAAGCATTCAAAAATACCAAAGACGATAAAGCAGATACAAAAAAGAAAGATTAACCACAATTGTTGGGTTTTGCCAAAACGCTATATTGGTCAATTTTATAAATGTTCATTAGATTTGTATGGGTTAATATTCTGAATATGGATGAAATTCATAATGTGATTAATTGTTTTAATTTCTAGTGTATACATTTTTTTTCATTTTGTTCTAATACTATGTTCTCTTTAATTAAGTATTTATTTGATCAGTTTTAAAAGATGTACCTATTATTTTTGTTGCTAAATTTAATATTTATGAATTGTTGATATTATCAAAATGTTTAAGGTATAAAACTATTTTTTCTAATTATTGTGACAATAAAAATATGAATGCTATTTAATTTAAAAGTTATATTTTTAATTTCCCAATATTAATTTTTTCGACATGGGAAAACTCATGGTTATTATTTTCAAATTATGATTAAAATTAAGACAGTTATGTAATAAAATAAACAAATATAACTAAAAGAATAAACTAAATACAAAAAAGTAAATATGGGTCATGTTCACAAATACACATTTAAACTGACTGATTGTACAATATTGATTTTTGTCCCATAAAATATTTAAAAATAATAGATAAATTATTGTCAAAAGTATTTTTGTTTGTGTATATTTTTGCTCAAATAGTGTTATAATCTATAATAAAATATTTTTTTTCATTTTCATTTTGTCATTAATGTATATTAATATTATTAAATTAAATAACATTGAGTAAATTGACCAAATCAATTAATCAACTAAATTGGCTTAACTTTAGTACTCAAGAATACATTTAAATATGGGATTGGGTTTTTAAAATTACCTTATAAAATTATAAAGTAAATGGTGTAACTAAAATTTGTTTTGGTTTGGACTACTGCAGGTAGTACATCCAACCCATACCTGTATCCAAAATATTTTTTTTTTTTTTACCAAATAGAACCTCCTTAATTTTAAACACTAAATATTTTTACACTAAAAACTCTTGCCAAACGACTTTTGACACATTTTATTCTACATAAATAATGATTTATATCCCTGAAAATGTGTAATATTAATTAAAAGTTAGACTAAGAGATTAAACATTATACAAATAAAAATACTGTTATTTGTGAAATATAAATGTTTTTGATAAACTAAAAAGCATTATAGGTAACAAAACAATTATAATTTTTTGGCAAAACTATTTTTAGCTCATGATATTAAATCTAAACATTTATTTTTATACTTGGCATGTAATAATTGAATGTAAACCTTTTATACAAATTTTACTGGACCATTAATAATTGTTACTTAACTTTTTAGTCATTTTTAAAATATGTTTAACTAGTACTATTGAAGACCAATTAATAATTTATTAAACTTAAAGACTTAGTATAAAATGTACTAAATTTTAGACAAAAATTAAATAAAAAAGATACATACTTCACATGATGGGTGGGCCACTGTCGTAGATGAGATGTTTGGGTAGACGAGAAATTGTATACAGTGGATTCCGCTTAATGTGGGCACCGGTTAATATGGGTATCCGCTTATTGTGGGCAAACAGGTCTGGTCCCAATACAAATGCATATTAACAATGTTAAATAAAACCGTGTAATATAGGCAATTTTATTTTATCATAGCATTAGAATAAACACATATGTATTTAAAATTTAATCGGGTTTTGTCATATCTATGAGATTGTGTTTATCGAAAGTAATAAAAATCATTACCATTCAAACCTTAATGGGATGCGATAATAATAAAGCGATAGATGGCTGGCACACTTTCTGTAACGCGTCAATACCCACATTTCAGTTTTGACATGAATTTCAAGGTGACAATGTTTCTCGAAAAGATCTCTCCCTCAAGGAAAAAAAATAGCGATTTTAGACAAAGTGAAATCACTACCTCCAGGCACTTCACAACGTAAAATTGCTGAAATATTATGCGTTCCGAAATCAACGGTGGTGAAACTGCTCAAAGAAGAAGGTGTACAACCTGAGTTGACTGAGTTGAATGAACAATTTTTACTTATTCAAAACCATAACGAGTTTGAAAACATTGATGAAAATACTCCTTGTTTTGATAATAATGAAGACATCTGTGATGTTGTAATACAAAATTTTCTTTAAAAAAAGGAAGTTGGAAGATGAAGAAGAAGAAGAAGATACCAAACTACCAGTTATAGCTAGAGAGGCTAAAAATTGCATTGATTTGTTGCAGAAGTTCTTCATGTAAGAGGGAAATGAAAATAGTCCATCTAATAAGCTTGAAGCGTGTGCCCATTTTGCCAACCAGATCCACACTAAACAGCTAAGACAACGAACAATTACAACGATTTGTATACTTTTCACATCTAAATATTAATTTTATTTAATATATTATATTTAGTTTTATTTATATAGTAATTATTTAACATTTTTTTCAATTCTATGATAATAAAAATAAAAACTTTTTTTATTATAATTTTTTTTTTTTTAAACTAATTTCGATTTTTATGGGCTACCGCTTAATGTGGGCAAACAGGGCAAAATGTGCCCACATTAAGCGGAATCCATTGTATTTACCTGTACGCAACAATTAACCATTGCTAGTGAAAAACGATTCTGAGCAGAGTTTGGATAAGAATTGTGCTTTGTTACCAATATATATATATTTCATATTATGGTAAAATAATTACATATACATTATATATTTTTTTTAATAATATTTGTTTTATATTGAACCTATTTCCTTGTTTTTCCTGGTTATTCAGATTTATTATGATAACAGCTGTGAAAATGAAAAAACGACCTCTTGGTGTTACACTTGATACTTTGGAGCAAGATTTCTGGTAGAATTTGTGTACACAGTATAAAAAAATAAAATATCATTGTAAAACCAATACATTCCTCGCTTCGTTTAGAATCTATAATTAAAATATACTCTTAAAGTTCTAAAAACAAACATTTATTTCATATAGCAATTAGATTTCGAACTTATACAAATCTGTAATAAATTAACTACCCGTACCCAGTACTGTAATATATCTAGATATTTTTTTAAATTTTATATCTCTATCTAGATACTTTCTAAAAATATGTACCAGTATCTGTACCTTAGATATTAAATATTGTACATCTTAACAAAAGTATCTAAGATACATTTTAAGATACAAATCTTACTTTTTTGGTTAAACAAAATACAAAAATAAAACGTAAAATTCTAAAATCTAATTTTATTTAAATGAAAATATCAACAATTTATTGTTCAATGTATAATTTTCTGATTTCTTTACTATTATAAATTATTATGTATAAGTGTATGACTATTGTGTATTGATAAGTGGATAACATCCATTATTTATTTTTTATTTACCTATAATTAACCAATATATTTTAATATTGTTATATATTATGTATTATAACATTGTAAGAATAAAATTATATTTGAAATCTGATATAAAAAAGATCGTATTATAAATTATGTTATTAATTTAATTTATGTTGTAATTTTGAAATTCTATATTTTTAATGAATTAAATATTTATGAAATAAAATTATCTATTTTCTTAAATGTATCTTATGATACTCTTAAGATGCTTGTATCTTTATCAGCAGGTCTATTATACATTATACACCTATATTTTACAGTGTAAATTATTTATACTTACCATTTACCAGTAGGTAGGTACGAGTTGAGTAACGAAAATGTACAAAACACCGGCGGCAATGGACTTTTATTGGGCTTTCGGAGTAATTCAACATTCCGCGATCAATATACGTACACGAGAATATTCGACACGATATTTTTAAATCACCGGAAAAATATTAACAGGAAAAGACCGTAACACGTAAAGGGTGTACTTAAATGGTATTTATTTAATTTATTTTTTCCTAATAAACTGCGCAATAGTGGAATCATGTTTTGTCACGACTGCGTGTCATAGTCACCCGTATTATTATTATAATACCACCATACCTACTTGGTTCGCGTAGGTTATAATAATGTTAAAATATTCATAAACCGCCTATACGACTACGAGATACCTAATTTTCCAAAACACGGGCGGCGACGACACCAAAATATTAAAATAAATTATTATATACTTTATAATTTATATTATATTATTATTACACGCCATCTATGGATTCAAACGTTTAAGTGTTCGACGGCGCGGCGCAGTAATCAGTGTGACGAGACGTCATATTTTTTGTTCTTCAGTAGTGTATTCAACATTTTTTTTTTTTGAAAGAAGAGGGGAATTGAAAAAAATATATTTACAAAATGGGTGTAATATTAAAAATACGATTTTAGACAACGAAAAAAGTGTATAGGTTCTTATAAACGACTTTATTTTGAACTATAATAACAGTAGGTGCAGTATCATTATGGGAGGATATTAGAATATTTCCGCGGTACCTCTATATTTGTTGTAAAAGATGATAATTAATGGTTTGCGCCAGATCAATAGACGGTGTAAAAATTTTGCCAAACAATAAACTTGAGGAGTCCTAAAATGGCTGCTTGGACGAGGTCTATATTTTTGGCTTCAAAATATTATTTCACTAAACGAAAACATATACTGTTATCAAAACATTAAGTAACTTTATTAGTTTAGTGTCTAAACAATTTAAACATATTATAGCAATATTATTATAATTTATTATAATCTATTTTGTTTTAATATAAAGGCGTATTTCTAAAATGTAACAAATCGCAATGCATTAAATATAAAAAAAATATAATAATTACCTAGGTTTTCAACAATACATTTAATAGTGTATAGACTTGTTTAATAACTTTTGTGATGAAAGTCATTGATAAGATTTCGCTAGAAAAGACGGCAGAGTTTAATGTTAAATCCTTTTGCGTACGTTGAAACATAATCAAAATTAGTTTTTTATGTTCGTGAGACGTATCATACCATGGCATGTTGTAAATATGTTCTTTTAAACGTTTATGCTATAAAAATAAATTAATCATGAGGTATTTGTTTCAGAAAAATATTTTTTATGGTTTCATCATATTATTTTTATTTATAGATTTTGAATTATCGATATTTATTTATTTGAAATAGTTCGTTTGTGCGAAAAATTCGTATTAAAATAACAATGTTTAAATACACATAACATTATACAGTTGGAAACTAATAATTTGTCAGAAAAGAGAAACTTAATTTTTAAAACAGCACCTTATTTATTGATTTTGGTTATATCGCAGGACCTTAGCTACGGAAGGGGGGGGGGGTAAAATCCTCTCTTTAACAAAGTAGAAAAAGTAAAAAATGTCTAGTATATTCTAAAATCCAAAATGTTTATTTTTTAAACCGTTTTTTTAACTGAATAAATACTTAACATATAGTAAATAGTAATAGATACACAGTCACACACTCACACAGAATTATTCTTTGGTAAATATTTAAATTTCATCTACATCATGATATAATGTATTATGTTTAATCATCGTCCATCGACGGTCTAGACTAGAAATTGATTACTACTTCGGCCTGCTGCCAGTACACGTTTGTTTGATGACACTAATTCAACAGATATAAAAGACTTTGAATCTCTAGTTTTTTTCTATCTTCCTGAAGTTGATACTGTCACAGCTAACTGTAAGCTACAAATTTGGAAACCAAAAACTCAAAGGGCTAGTAATTTACTAGTAATTACAAGCAATGATGAAATGTTGCCTTCTAATGCATTGGATGCCATCAGACGTTGTGACTCTATCATATTCGCAAATATATTTATGTTGCTAAAAATTTTGTGCAGTATACCTGTTTCTACTACAACGTCAGAAAGATCTTTTTCTGGCTTAAAACGAATAAAGCCCAACCTCAAAAACAGTATAAAAGAGGTATGTATACACAATTAATTTTGATTTCATTTTATTTATTGAATTTGTTGTCAAACAGGATCGTCTTAATGGATTGGTACTATTATTTTATTACCGAAATATCATCATCACGCCCGATGAAGTATTGGATGAAATCACTAAGAAGCCGAGAAAAATTGACTTAGTGTTGTCATTAAAATATAACATTTTACTCTCACAATTACACAATTTTGATGTTTAACTCAATGTAATTTCTTATAAAGATATCCTCTATAAAATTCCCATCTATGGAACTGGACCTCCCTTTCCCCCTTATAGAAAATTCCTAGCTACGGCCTACTTATGTGAAAAAGAAAAAAAGTATTGTCATAAAAAATCACATTTTAAAAATAATACACAATATATTTTGTAGGGCAATTATAGTTACTAATTATTAAATAGTTTTAATTGAAAGTAACAAATTGTAGAACTATAAGAAGAAATCTCAGAAAATATATAAAATATATATAATATATCGGTAATATTATATATATTTATATTATTACCTATATGAGCTACGAGTATGAATAAAAAAAAAAAAAACAAAAAAATCAAATATATTTGAGAGTTTAACTCTAAAGAACGATTATTAAAATGTGCAGTCTTTAAAAAGTTTTATTGGTTTAAATATTATTTATTCATTTTGATTCTGTTATGATTATATTATATTATTTATACAAAATGTATAATGTTTATATTGAATTTATTGTTTTATTGTAAATAGGTTCCTTTTATTTGATAATAAATAATATTAAATACTAAACAGTTTATATATTTAAATAAATTGAAAAATAATAATAAAAATACCATGTTAAGTACGATATCTCCCATAAAACAGTGAAAACAAAAAAATATCAAGCAAAAAATCACTGTACCAAAGACTTTAACCTTGTAATAAATTTCCGTGTCTGCCTAAAAAAGAAACATAATATTATATTACTTTTAATTTATAATATTGTAGTATGCATATTGTTATACTGATTATTAATAATTAGCATAAAAAAAATTAATATACAAATCGAGAAATTACCTTTATCAAATTGAAAATTCCAACTGCAAATAAACCCTGTTGCATAATATTTTCAACCAACACTATCCATTTGAAATACGATTTATAATAATTCAAACATCTAAAATAATTTTATAACAAAGTAAATATAATAATTTGTATATTTAAAAGGTAGGTATATTTACCTATCCAATATATTATAAATTTTAATAAATCATTTCAGGAACGTATCTAAAGGGTTATAGATCCCTCGACCTTTTTTTAAGGAGATAACGAATTACTCAGATTTAAAATTATATATTGATATTTGTATTTATTGAATGCGAGGGACTAAGGATAAGTCAAAGTAAAACATAGTAAGTATATGTAGAGTATGAGTTTGAAGGAAAAGGACAAGAAGTTGACGGCACAAGTCGATTAATGCCAATATTAATGCTAGTGTTGACGAGGTGAAGACGTAATAGGCGAAGTTGAGTTTTAAGTACCTTGGATCGGTTGTACAAAAGAACGGTAACTTTGAAGAGGATAGGATGTAAAACATAAGATTAGGTGTGGTTGGATCAATTGAAAAGAAGTGTCAAATGTTTTATGTGACAAGATAATTCCAATAAGACTTAAAGGTAAGTTCTACAAAAATATAATGAGACTAACTATTTTGTATAGTTTGGAAATATAAAAGACAATGAGTATAGTGGAGATAAGATCACCTACTTAGATGGATGGATGGAGTGACGAGAGGAGATAGAACAAGGAACGAGCACATAAGAGGTAGCATAGTTTTGGTTTCGATAGTAGACAAAATGCGAGATAATAGCTTGAGAGGGTTTGTGAGGTTGACATTTACATATCATGAGGAGAGAGGAATCAGATGTAGTAAGAATGGTAATGAAAATAAATGTAGAAGGAAAGAGAAAACGAGGACGACCGAAAAAAGGTGTTTGAATAAGATTGAGAATAATATAATGAGGACGGTAGACGTATGATGATATGAGAAATTTAGTCAAATGAAAGTTTATGTATAAAGTTTTTTTTTTAGATGATGAAGAAGGATCATTTAATTCATTTGCGAACAAATAATACAATGTATATTTAACATTATAATATGATTAACATTAATAACCTAAATATTTATACATAATACATAATTAGTTATTGTGTAACATATTAGATAAAGAACCTACAGAAAAAATTAATTTACAAAGCCCCTTCAACAAAATCCTAAATATACCCATGAATAGTAGGTATAGTCGATATTTGTTAGTTTTATTAAAACGTAAGCCAAATTATACGAAAATGATATTAAAAAGTATTACGTTTGGTAAAGCGTTCAATGTACATTTTCAGTAGATAACAAACAGATAGGTAGTATTTTATTAGGGCCTAGTATAATACTATAATGCCTAGTACTGCCTAGGCAGTATTAATGGCGTGTTTAAGTTTTCCCCGCCTATAGGCATTTTCGGGATTCGCCGCATTTTCCACCCCATTCCTCCTAAAATATCTCCTACTATATTTTAATTCATAGTATGAGCAATCGAATCCGCATTTGGACGCGGGAAATTTTTTTTTTATATGCATACTGGTCGTATATTATACGGTATAGCGTATAATACCTATGTGCACATGTAATATTTTTTGTAAATTTTTTATGAACGGACGCGATCGTTTAGATAATTTACAATTCTAAATTATACATACCAATATATTAAAATATATAATTTGTATATAAATCATTTTTCTAACTTAAAAAATCAGTACAATTCGATTTAATTTAATAAAAAATATTTGTTGTCATTTTGTTAAATAAAAGATGATCAAACTTACCACCACCCCTTCCCCCCTAATATCACCGCTCTAGGTCTGTGCCTAAATAAGTCTCAAGTATCTACTTACCTAACATTTTAAATTTTTTGCCAAATAATAATTATTAGATATTTTATTTTTATATCAATACCAATTTACGATGTAAAATTATAGGTTTTATATTTATGTTATAAAAATATAATTTTAACTTCCAATATTACACTATGTATTAAATTTTGTATAGATATATACATAAATTATAATCACTTGATTATTGACTGATGATGACGAATACAATCAATAAAATGACTCTGAAATTCTTTTTCCATTCTGTATTCGAATGATTCATTCAAGCCATACAACAGTTTTTCAAATTGGTCATTTAACTCGGACAAAAACACCATTAATCCTATGTTACATGATCCCATTGAAATCAATATAAAAAAAGTAGAAACTAATTGAAGTTGATAGATGAACAGATAGATACTCAAATTTTCGATTCTGCAAAACTTAAAGCAATTTATTATAACTAGGCAATGGAACGCAATCGATAACTAAAATAACAAAAATAGGTACTAAACCTATCAAAATAAGATTTTACCTTAGGCCAATACATAAGCCAGTGCGAATGGGTATCTAATGGCGAATCGCCTAGATCAGATATTGCCGAAATTAAAGGACTGAAAGCAATAAGACTAACGATAGCTGTGAAGATCACTACCAAAAGCCGTATAATTTTTATATTTTTCGTGTACGTTTTGTTTGGATCCATTTTTCTCTTCAACGACCATTCAACAAAATTCGTTTGTATGCAGATAAACGTGGAAATGATATCTCTTTTTTTATAAGCAAATATTATTAAAATCGTAGAATAAAGAAATCCGCCCATCATGTATTCGATTAGCTCTAGAGCCATAGAGGTGGTCAAAGTATCGAATTCTTTCCATAGAAGGAAACCGGGTGCAAAGATAAGCTAAAAATAAATGTAAATCCAACTTTTAATAATAAAAACGTGATTTTGAATCATACAAATTGGATGCTTACCGATAAAATATAATTGAAAATACCTATGCGTAGAACTGGTCGTAAATAATTTCCACACACTTCATCGGTTTCCACCGCAAAAGCTAACGGCATTAATAATTGGTAAAATTTTCTTTGACAGACGACCCTATCGACTGCAGATGCGGTCATTTCTATTGTTTAAACTCGAGTATGCAAGTCAAGTAAATAAATACGAAACATATCCTGTTTTCAAACGACTCTAGTTGTGTGCGATATTACAATCCATACTTACAGCAGTTTAATTATGGGGTGAAAAATGTTTTACTTTCTGGTATTTTCATTTTTTTTTCTTTTTATATTTGTAAACTATGAATGATAAAATATTCCTACTTATATTTGTACAAACCCTTTTACCTACAATTAGTGTGAAAAGATACGTAGGTAAGTACTACATGTTTCATTAATAATCCATGTCTCTTATAAATATTTAGTAGGACTTGCAATATTACCATCGGCTATATTTAAATGTACAATTATTTAATAGGTCGATAGTAATGTAAACTACGACATTATCAAAATATAAGAGAGTGTGAGGGTAAAACAAGACAGACATATTTTTGTATAGAAGTGTGATGAAATTGGTTTACTCCCTATTTGAAAATATTTTAAAACTCTATGTATTTCAGATTTTGGTTTTATATTCAGCGGCGTATTATTTTTTAACTTTTGCTTTTCTATTACCTGATAATCATCTTGACGCACAAATATGTGGCTTCCACACCGCTTAATTTTTTTTTGTTGGGTAGTAACTAGTTAAAAAATTATATACTATTACAACAGTTTGTCATATTTGGTCACTAAAGAACAGTATCCTCGCTTTAATAGACGAACATCTAAAAAGACAGACGTACTCCGCACGATGGATGGACCACTGTTGTTGGTGAGAAGTTAGAAAAATAGGATATAGAGGGAAATTGTATTTATATCTGTACGCAACGATTAATCATTGCTAACGAAAAACGATGATGCAAACCCATGATGCATGGTATGTCCGTGTTTTTCAATTTTTAGGCAATTTTCGACGGACATCGATCAAGTAAAAATGTTTCAAATTTGTATCAAGCAACTTCCATCCATATTATGCGAAACAAGACAATTGGAAAATCAGTCATAAAATGCATTGCTATACAACAAATATAGAAATTCTTGAAGTGATTGATTCCGTATTAAACAAATACGGCAATTCGACCTACCCAAGTACAATGCAAAGACCGCAGTGTTAAAGAGAAATCTTGCTTAATCCAATAGTGGTATCAATCCCAAGGCCAAGATGAAAAATGAAGCAGACCGTTCGTTCTCCATGTCTTATGGAACCCGTGTTTTAA